GTTTAGGGTTTAGGGTTTAGGGTTTAGGGTCTGCAGAAGAAGCCCTTTGCTGCGACAGCAGCAAATAAAAAGCCGAGACTGCTGCAGCAGCTGGGGGCTGAACTTAAGCGCCTAAACTCAATTTTATTTCTTTATTTGAATTTCATTTATTTCGTTTTAAAGTCAATTTAAAATGGCAAACTTTGATAAATAAAAAATTAATTAAATTTAATTAAATGGCAAACTTTAATAAAATGAAAAGCCGCGAAATTGCGGCAAAGAAAGCGCTGGGGCGTCCAGCTGCAACCTTGCTGCTGCTGCTGCTGCTGCTGCTGCTGAGGCTTTCGGTGAATTCAGAACATTTCGGAGCAATTTAAAGCAATTTAAGACAATTAAAAATAATTGAAGTGATTAAAAGCAATTAAAATGTTAAATTAAATGATTTTAAATTAAATTAAATTCAAATTGAGAAGAAATTAAAACGAAAGAAGACGCAAGACGAAGGAGCTGCAGCAGCCCCAGGGTCACTTCCCATTTCCTCCGGCGCAGCTTTTGGTGAGGGTTTAAATTAAAGGAAGAAAATAAACAAAAAATAAAAAATTAAGATCATATTATACAATATAGCGCCTGAAAATTAGGGTTTAGGGTTTAGGGTTTAGGGTTTAGGGTTTGGGGGAGTAGGCCGAGGCTGGGCCGATTGGGTGTGAGCCGCGGCGAGTGGCCGCTGTCGAGGCGCCAAAAGTGCAAATTGGTTTATTTGAAGTTAATTTAAATTTAATTTGAATTTAATTTTAATTTTAATTTTAAAATTAAAAATAAAATTGAAGGGAAGTTTTGCCTTTAGAAAGAGCGCAGCTGCTCGAGTCGCTCGTTGGGGTGACCGCCGGCTCTGTTGCCTTGCCGCTGCAGCGCTGCTGCGGAACTTCTGGGGGTCTTTTGTTTGAAATTGTAAATTTATTCAATGAAATTGAATAAACAAAACAAATTATTTTAAATTTAAAGAATTAATTTCTCTTTTGAAGTTTAATTTGGGCTTCAACGAGCACGCCGGAGTGCGCAGCAGTCTTGGCGAGGCGGCGCACCCTCTTGGGAGCAGCGGCTGCAGCGTTTCTGCTGCCGCTGCTGCAGCAGCGTCACTGAGCCACAAATTATTATTATTTAATTTTAAATTAACTTCTACTTGTTTCTTTCTAGTTATTTGCTGCTTTTCCTTTTTAGAAGCGACCAGGTGAGGCCCCGTGCGGCGGGCTCGAGTGAGCGGGCTTGTTGCGTCGTACGCGCGGCGGTTTGGGGTGTACGTACACCTCAGGTTCTCAACTTGAATTAAACTTTGTCACAAATTCGCATTTCATTTTACTAATTCGCTCCAGCCCAGCGGCTGTCTCTCTCTGCGCTGCACTGGCCTCTTCCGTGCATTCCCGGAGCACAACTTGAGCTGCCGTTCCTCCCTGCTGCTGCCGCTGCCGCTGCTGCTGCTGCATCTGCATGCTCCCTGCTGCTGCATCTGCATGCCCGCTGCTGCTGCTGCTGCTGCGCCCGCCTCCCCCTCCGCCCCGCCCCATCCCCCCCCCGCCGCTGCTGCTGCTGCTGCTGCTGCTGCTGCTGCTGCTGCTGCTGCTGCTGCTGCTGCAGAAGATGTCTGCGCAGGCGGTGTTTGAGAGTTTCACGCACGGAGCAGCAGCAATGGACGGGCGGACGTTCGTGAAGCTGTGCAGAGACGGGAAGCTGCTGGGGAAGCAGTTCACAGCGACAGACGCTGATTTAGTGTTTGCGAAGTCGAAGCAAAAGGGCAGCAAAACCCTCGGGCTCGCCGAGTTCGAGCAGGCGCTGCAGCAAATTGCAGACAAGAAGCAAACCAGCCTGCAGCAGCTGCTCGCGCAGCTAGCAGCAGCAGGGGGCCCCGTGTACACCGGAACCAGGGCCCTCGCCAACAAGTTCCACGACGACAAGAGTCTGTACACCGGAGTCCACGCCCACGGGGGCCCCTCCACCAAAGACGACAAAGTCAACGACCTTTCGAGCCTGCTGGACAGGAGCCCCGCAGACGTCAGGGGCACCAAGATGTAGTTGCTGCTGCTGCTGCTGCTGCTGCTGCTGCTGCTGCTGCTGCGCTGCGGCGGTGCGGCGGTGCGGCGGTGCGGCGGTGCGGCGGTGCGGCGCTGCGGGGGGTGGGGGGAGCTGGAGGGTGGAGGCAGCAGCAGCGAGGGCGGGGTGCAGCAGCAGCAGCTCTGCTGCTGCTGCTGCTGCTGCTGCGGTGGGTGGGGCTGCTGCTGCTGGTTGGGGTGGGAGTCTTCTTGCCGCACTCAAGCGGGCAGAGGGAATGCAGCAGCAGCAACTGCAGCAGCAGCAACTGCTGCTAGACACTGGTCGCCGATAAAGCCAGCAGCAAACGCAGCGGCAGCAGCAGCAGCTGCTGCCGCTGCTGCTCCACAGCTTCGCGCCGCAACTGCTCTTCAGACTCTACTTCGGGTGGCTTTCACTCAGAGACTTTCCTTCTAAACTGCTTTTGGAACGGTTACACACCCAAACCCTAAACCCTAAACCCTAAACCCTAAACCCTTTCTGTGACAAAGCAGCAGCAGCAGCAGCAGCAGCAAGAATTCACCCTTTCCCTATCAACACACATCGAGGCGCTCAAGAGCGCAGCAGATTGAGGGCCTTAGCACTAGGGTTTAGGGTTTGAGCTAGGGTTTAGGGCTACGGTTTAGGGTTAGGGTTTAGGGTTTGTGCGAGGGCTTTCGGCAAATCACTTCGTTTGGTTGTCTAGGGTTTAGTCAACTTGATGTGTACTCAAAAGAGATAAGAGCAGGGCCTTGAGTTCCACAATCCCAAACCCTAAACCCTAAACCCTAAACCCTAAACCGTAGGGCGTGAGCCCAAGGCCCATGCAAAGTTTTCCTTGCGGAAACTTTGAACCTGTAGTTCCTGCTCTCTACCAAGGAGCTCCTCCCAAACCCTAAACCCTAAACCCTAAACCCTAAACCCCAAACCCTGACTGCTGCTGGCGCTGGGCCTGCAGCTGCTGCCTGCGGGCTCTGGCCTCTTGCTGTTTTTGCCGCAGCTCTCTCAGCTCTTCTGCTGAGGGTCCTGCAAAGAGACAAATAAACAAATAAACAAACAAATAAATATATATATAAATAAATAAAAAATAAATCAATAAATAATGCTGAATAAATTAACAGATAATTGGACATGTTAAGGAATGAAGGAAAGGCAGCAGCTGAGCTGCTGCAGCAACAACCCGGCAAGTGCGTCTACAGCAAATAAAACACTTTCGGACTCGAAATCAATTAAAAAAGATTAAAAATATAAAGATAAAACAAAATGAATAAAATAAAATAAATAAAATAAAAGATGAAGACAAAAAATAACGAGACAGAAAGAGTGAACTGCTGCGGCGCGGCTTCATTGGCACATGCCCGTGTTGCGAATTCGCGGGCCAGTTGACCTAATTTGAATTTAAAACGACTGAAAACAAATTAAATTTAATTTTTAATTTCATAATTTCAAATAATAAAATAATAACTGAACTCCATTCGGAAGGGGAATTCCCAGCAGCCTCACCTTCAGGGTCTGGTTGGGGTGGCTGTACAGCGGCGCGGCCGACGGGGTCTCGAGGCATATCTTCGCCGGCACTTTTGTTTGAATTTTTATTTAAATTTGAAAAAAGATTTTCATTTATATTTTTGTTCGCATTTATATTTTCATTTTTGTTTTTACTTCCACTTTTACCCGCACTTTCCGCAAAGTCCGCGTCCAAGTCCATCCCCGCCTCCTCGGGGTAGTCCTCGGGCCCCCCCCACTCGTCCTGAGGGTTTGGAGAATGAGGGTTTGGACGAGGGTTTGGATTAGGGTTTGAATTAGGGTTTGCATTAGGGTTTAGAAAAGGGTTTGGGGGCTCGTCGGGGGCGAGATCGCGGGGGTTTAGCAGCAAGTGAGGGTTTGGGGGGCAGCCGTTTTGCTGCCAGTGCTGCAGAAAGCCCGTGAGGTGTCTGTACACCAGGAGCGGCCGCAGGCGCGCCCACAGCTGCTGCTGCAGCGGCTGCTTCTCCAGTCTTCGCGTCAGTTTCGAAATGTGTTCATTAAAAGGATAATATTCATTTATTTTATTTCTTATTTCTTCTAATAAACCATTTAAAGCTTCCCGCAGCTCCACAGCTTCCGCAGCTCGCAGCCGCGCCAGCTCCCGGCTGCACCGCCGCACGCACAGCGCCGCCCGCGCCGCCTCCCCGCTGCTGCTGCTGCTGCTGCTGCTGCTGCTGGTTCGCCGCTGCTGCTGCTGCTGGCTGGAGGCGCGGGCGAGGAGGGCCTGCGCGGCCTGCAGCTCGCGCTGCAGGCCCTGCTTCCTGCTGCTGCGGGCTTTTTGTCTTTTAATAAAATCATATTTCTGCAACTTATCCCGAGAATTGTTTATTTGACAATACAAGTCCAACAGAGCGTCGCCGGGGGCCCCCTGGGGGGTCGCGAGGAAGCAGGAGGCGCTCAGCGGCGGCTGCCGCGCGCGGCGGCCGCGGGGGCCCCCCGCTGCAGCAGCAGCAGCAGCAGCAGCAGCAGATGCTGCTGCTGCTGCTGCGGGTGGGTCTTCTGCCTCGTCTTCGGAGGCGTCGGGGAAAGAAGTTGCGCCTGAATGCATGCGCGAGACAGTGCAACTACGAAACCCTACACCCTAAACCCTAAACCCTAAACCCTAGGAGCCACAAGGGTTTGGCGTTGTGTCGCAGTGCAGCAAATCTAGGGTTTAGGAAATCAGCAGCTCACTTGGCCTTCTTGCATGCGAATGGGGCCCTGGGGCCCCGTGCTTCTTTGACTTGCTGCTGCTGCTGCTGCTGCTGCTGCCGGGGGCCCCCACCTCCGGGGGCCCCTCCTCCTCCCCAAAGAGCTCCGGGTCCTCCCAAGCTGCTGCTGCTGCTGCTGCTTTGCTGCTGCTGTGCTGCTGCTTCCGGGCTGGGGAAAATGAAGGGGAGTCGAAGCGCTTGTCCGGGGGGGGGGAGTTCATGGCTCTGGACTTGAACTGCGGGGGTGGGGGTCCGATCTGCGGCTTTTAAGGAGGAAAGCGAAAATAAAAAGATAAATTAAAAGTAAATGCTTCGAAAAATATTCTTATTAAGAAGGATCTGCGGCGGATAGCCGCGGATCAGGCCTACGCCTGATTTCGGCGTCTGCCGAAACGGGAATGCAACTTCGGGGCTTCTAGCGGCGAGCTCGAGCGAATTCGCCCCCATAAAGCACTTCAAGGAAATAAATTCAAAAATAACTTTAATTTTAAAATGAATTTAAGCGACTTCAGGCGAAAATTCTGCGATTTCGTGTTTCGTGGAAGGAAACACAGACGGCCGCGCTGGGAAGCGGTGGGGTTGGTGTTGCGCAGCGGCGGCTGATCTGCTGCTGCAGCCCCCCCTTCCCTGGCTTTTCGCCTCATATTAATTTAATTGAAAAGTTAAATAAAAGTTTAAACTTTAAAAGCATTTCAAATATCGAAAAGTAATCCAAATTGCAGCTTTCCACCCGCGTTTCACGCAGCGGCTGCAGCGGTGCTGGTGCTCGTGAGAAGCAGAGCCAACCATCGCACAGCAATCCAAACGTTTGTCTAATAAAAAAGCTGAAATTGAAAGTTTTGAATTTTTTTTTGGATTTAAAATATGAATTATTTCTTTATTTTTTCTTTCTTTATTTTCCCCCGCCAGCCGCCCGGCCAAAAACTTGAACAGCAGCGCACTGGGGCCCCTCTTCTGTATCACCGCGATTCAAAACAGCTTATTATGGGCTGAAGAATTAAATTACTTTTTAATTAAATTAAAACTGAGTTCGTTTTCTTTTAAATTGAAGAATCAAATTCGTTTTTATATTTTAATTTTCAATTCAGGGTTTGGAAGAACGTGTTAGCACTTCAAGAGTAATGTGTGCAGTCTCACCCCGTGATTACTCAGATACACTTGTACATTTACATTATAAAATCTATTTTTAATTACATATTTATATTTATAAACAACTTATTTGCTTTTAAAAACAATTTTAGGATTATTAAAGGCATTTTAGGAGCTTCCAAAGACCCCTCCACCCCAGCGAGGCGCCGTTTTGACAACAGGGCAAAGGCTGCAGCTGCCGGCGGGCTGATGGACTGCAGCAGCTGCAGCAGCCGCAGTTGCAGCAGCAACTGCAGCAACTGCAGCAACTGCAGCAGCTGCAGCAACTGCAGCAGCTGCAGCAACTGCAGCAGCTGCAGCAGCTGGAGCAACTGCAGCAGCTGCAGCAGCTGCAGCAACTGCAGCAACTGCAGTTGCAGCCGCAGTAGTAGTTACGGGCAGCGGGCGACAGGGGCAAAAAAGGAGTGAAATACCGCTGCTGCTGCTGCTGCTGCTGCTGTGGCACTGAGCAAAGCCCCTTGGGCTCAGAGGACTTCATAAAACTCTTTTGTTTTCATTTTGATATTTTCGAAAAGCTGTGGAAGCGCTGGGTGCCTCTAAATGAAATAAATCAAATTGAAAAAAACTTGTTTTCAGAATCAAATTTATTAAATCATCTGAAACCATTTCATTAGTTTGAGTCCTGGGACATTAGCGGCCGTTGTTGCCGTTGATACTGCTGCTGTTGCTGCTGCTGTTGCTGCTGCTGCCGTTGCTGCTGCACACAGGGGCTCTAAAAGGGCCATTTTTGCTGCTCTTTTGGGCCTTCACATTTCCCCAATTTGCAGCATTTTCTAGACAGTCTTAGCAGCAAATGAAAGGCTCCAAAAAGTCCATTTTGCTGCTTCATTTTTAACAAAGTTTTGCTTCTTGAGAGCTGCTGGCAGCAGCAGAGCCAGCGGGTGGGGGCTTTGCACGGGGGCTGTGGCCCTGGCTTTATATGCTGCTGCAGCTCTTTGCACAGCCTGAGCTTTGTCCTGAAAACGGCTACTAGCGGCGAATTTGCGAAATTCTAGATTTAAAATGGCCTTTTAAGATTAAATTTAAGAAGTTTCATATTTAAAATGGCTTTTGTGGCCCAAATATCGTTGGAATTTGCCTTTTTGCTGCTGCCAGCGTGGGCTTGGCCGCGGGGCGCTCCCGCTGGCCTTAACTATGGACACGCGCTGCAGCCGCGAAGCTCCAGAGGCCTCTGCTGCAGTTTTTGAGTTAATTTTGAAAATATTTCAAAGAAATGGCGAAATTTTGAAAGTGAAAAAGGTCTATTAAGGCGCAGCCGCGGGGGATTCGCAGGCAAGCGAGCCAGCGGCGCCGCGCCCTCCAGGCCAGACCAGCAAGCCACGGGGAGAAGGGAAATGGAGCTTCACACAAGTCTTTGTATCCCAATTCTCGCTTTTAGGAATAAACTAAATATTTTAATTTATGTTTAGACTTAAAAAGGGGCTTTTATCGATAGTATACTTTGAATCTGGTGGGCCGCTGCGGGTCGATTGGCTCACGCGCGCCCGCTAGCCTGAATCAAATTGCTGGAGCAGCGGGGCCCCTGCGGGGCTAAGTTGCTGGATTTTAATTTGGAAATATAAAAAAAAATAAATGGAAATATTTGACAGAACTTTTCAAGCCAGGACAGCGGAGGGAGCTGCTGCAGTGTGGCTGCAGCAGCAGCTGTACAGTGTTGCTGCGTCGGCAGCCGGCGCTGCGCGGCGCGGGCAGCAGCAGCGAGCGATTTCGCAGCAATTCCGCAGCAATTACATTTAAATTTGGCCTATTTTTGTGTATTTAGGTTTTCCATCGCAGCGATCTATGATATTTCAATGAGTTTTGCTGCTTCCGCCGCCAGCCCATCGGGGTTTTCGCGCGCCGAGACTGCCAGCAGCGCGCAGGTCGATGGCGCTGCCGCCAGCAGCAGCAGCAGCAGCAGCAGGGGCTCTTCTTACTGCGTCCAAGCGGACTTTTCGAAGACCTTCTCCTTTTTGTGCAGCAAAGCCGCTTGTCTGGCGGCAAAAGGCCGCAAGATCCAGCCGCAGCAGCCCGCGGGCAGCAGCAGCAGCAGCAGCGCCGCCCGCCGCGCTGCTGCTGCTGAACACCGCCGCACAAACGCACCACCCACCAACATATACCCCAAACCTCCTTTCTTTTGGGCTTTTC